CTTTTTCTTAAGAAATAAACCATAGGCTATGAAAGCCTTCAGCAACAGTATTAAGATAAACTAGCCTCCAAGCAGATGGATCCAGCCTGAGCAACTTCAGATACACAATACTGGTTCTCCTTTTAGATGCTTCATTAGAATTTATACCTTCAATTCTTTAGAAAGTAATATTTCAAGTGCTGGTACACCAGACATCAAGCCTCAAAAATTCTGCTGTTGCAAAGGCAAAGTTTATTTATTTATTTATTTAATAAAACATTTCTATGCCGCCCCTTGCCAAAGCCTCGGGGCGGCTCACAGCATAAAATAAAATACACAATAAATTAAAACAATAACAATTAAAATATATACATTAGAATAAAATAAGCCGCCCTGTCCTCAGCATGTAAATCCACCATGGGTATTTTCCCGTGTTGTGCATGCAGCCAACCTTAATTTTGTCCCTAGAGACCCCATTTTGAAATGTACTCACTGAGATTTCTCCAAGATATGTACAGAGGCTCCCCTGGCTCTTGATGAAGGTTAATGTTATCCCACAGTAGCTGGATATACACTAGCTTGCTGTCTTGAGACAAATTTGACAGAGGAAGCTAGAATGGAGGAAACATACTTTCTTATCAATTTGCCACAGACAGAGGTCTCTGCCAACAGTTTTGCATTGCCAAGTACACAGTGCTAGTTTTTGGTTTGTTCTTGTGCTATCGGAATTCTCTAACAACTGAGGACAGTTGCCTCAAACAGCTTGCCCCTTCTGATTTAAATCAAGTCAATTTCAGAAACATAATAGGATTTGCATCATATCCACAATATTTGAAGAAGATTGTTTATAGAGTCAGTCTGGAAAAATCATTTGTTTAGGAATATTTACATGGAGGACAGTATCTCCATAGCAACAAGCCACATCCCATATAATTGTACTCTGAACTGAAATGCTTTATATCACTATCATTATCAGTTAAAGCTGATTTACTACATGCCCTATTCTACATTTTAAAAGTACATTTCCTGGACACAGCACAATGTTCTCACCAACATTTCAATTTTACTTTCTAAGTGGATATTAATATTAAAACAGCCAATGTGTTAGGCATTTTCCATCTTTATAAGAACTAAAGTTTTACTAAATACATTAAGCAAGCTGAAGCATCCACACAGGATCTTAGAACTCACCTGTACACCTTCATTACAGTGTTCTGATGTTAGAATGAGTCCTGGCAAGTTACTTGGGAGGTCCAGGCGCCGGAAATACCACACAAGATTCCAGAAAATAATGGGATGTTGATTGATGAATGTTGAGGTGTGGATCACTTGTTCGCCTTCATTCTCCAACAAAGATTCTAGCTCTTTCCGAAGTACCAAAGGGCTTAAATAAGGCACGGACACAGGTAAAGGATTGGCCTTTTTTGCTAAGGGATCCTGAAGAGCAACAGTAAAGGTTAGTTGTTAACCATGTGGAATCAGTTTTTCCAACTTCCCTTCCACTAAACTAAAAGCTTCAAGGAGTCCCTGAGCCACATTAGTTTGGAAATGAAACACACCTAATAACATTAATTTAATCCAAACACATGGGGGGGGGGGGTGTTGCCACTTTCCTTATCATGAGATAAAAACACTGCATATGCTAAAGTATTTTTTTGTAAATGAAATGGAACTGCATGTGGAAAAGAAAATTCCTTAAGTAACTTCCCAGGCATTACTTGTACACATTGTAAGAAGGTAACAACCCTTAGCTTCTACAGAAAGTTTCTTCAAAGGCAACAAGAAATCTGGAATGCTAATGCTCAAGATTATCTATAACTATCAACACACCTGTACTGCCAGCAGTGAGTTAACATACAATTACCACCAAGAACTTACCATAGCCTCCTGCAAACTGTTAGGAAGGCTGACTGTTGAAATACCATGTGATGGCCTTTGCAGGAGATCAATATTTTGCAGTGGGCCGCCAACACTGTGGCTCCGAGTTAGAGAAGTTCCTCGCTTTGATGAGTTATTTGCAACAGATGGCCTTGTGGGTTTGATGTCCTTGTTGCCTTCTGCTGTACCAATGCTTAAATACAACATGAGAAGTTATAGATATTAAAGAAAATAGGCCAGATCTGCAACAAAATGTTGCCATGTGTTCCTGTCCAGGGTTCCAGCCGGCAGAATGGGTGGAGACCAGTCAAATCCTCTTCTAGGATATTCTATTCCCACCTCCTCCCACCCACACACTCAGCTAAACATTGTGTGGACAATGAGCATGCTCAATGAACCGCATTTTCTTCATGGGGAGGTTACCCCCTTAGTTTCTGTACTGCTCAGGCAGGATCCAACAGGATCCACTGCTAACAGGAAGTTAGTGGATCTTAAAGCAATTGCACCAGTCAAAATACTTGTTTCCAGGACAAGGTAAATTACAGACCTCACAAAAGGAAGCTCCACTGACCTGCCCCATGCCACAAATGAGACTTCTGCTAATTTCTAGGGTTGCTCTAGGAAATACTAGGGCGAGTTCATACTGGCCCACCAGAATAAACAGAGGCACAGCTGCAGTTGGATACTGTCCTCTGGGATTACCACAGACATGTTGATACCTTCTTTCTCAGCAGTTCTTCCACTGTTTTTGGTTACAATCCTACCAGCACTCCCAGGGTGAAGTAGCTATTTGAGGGAATTTTCTAGAATTCTTTTAACACACAACATGCATCAAACTCTATCTTGCTTATTTGGCACGGCAGCTCTGTTAGGAACACTTCTGCTTATCTTTTACATACTTATAATTTGTGGTTGTAATTTATCAGAACTGAAACCAAGTGTGTACCTCAGCCTTCCCACACTGGCTCTTGCATCTTTCAAATGTGACTGGCTTCTAAGCAGTTTGATGAATTTCCCCAATTTTCTTGTACCTTTGCATTGCTGTGGTGCTGTGTTCTTCAGTGATGGTCTGGTTGCTGTTTGAGGGATCTGAAAAACTGATCAAATCAGTGGCCGGGGTGGAAACAGGCTTCTGCTCCAGAGAATCAGTGGTTAATGGAATGTTACTGCTGTGTAAACTATCACCAGAGGAACTTGGTTTCAGAAGCACGCTAATTGGGAAACAGGAACAACACAGACAAGCACAAAAACAAACAAAGAAAACAAACAAAAAAGGAAGATTGGAATACACAATATTGTCTTGTAATATCTAACTACACCTGAAATTCATCAAGAATTTTGTCTTCAACAAAAACTGTATTAACCTCTAAAATTCTAGCAGACATCCCACCCTCATTAAAAATTAGGTTTGCACATTAATTTATCAAAGGCTAAAAGGGACAATAAACAAAAGAATGTTTACATTATTAATTTATCATGTAAATAAATCCGCCCCGAGGCTTCGGCGAATAGGGCGGCATAGAAATTTTTAAATAAATAAATAAAATAAATAAAAATCTATCACCATTCAGAAAATTGCCAAAGTACAATTTAACTGGCAAAGTATGAATGTCCTTTTTCCCAAGGGCTAAATTAAATTGATTTAATTTGACACTAGCAACACATGAGAAAACATGCAACTGCCTAATCAGCATTTTAATGGCAAAGGTGTGCACTCAGCAAGTCTACCAACCTTGCAAGACCACGCAGGTCTTTAAATTCCACATTGAGAAGAGGTAAGAAAGTGTTTTTGCAAAATGGGCATGTCGTATTCAAATTTGAGTCATCTGCAGTCCATCCTGCCATAATTTCTTCATCATAAACTAGTGCTCCACATACTCGGCATTGGGAACAACTTGACATTAAGACCTGTCCCAAAAAATAAAACAGTCTATATACATACCAAAATGTGCAGGATCCAGAGCTTTGGTTTCTGAATTTAGGGAAGCCCTGCTGGATCAGGGCTGATCTACCTCTCAAGGCCAGCATTCTGTTCTCACAACAAGATGTCCACAAGCAGGATATGAGTGTGAAAGTGTCCTCTACTCTTAAATTCTCTATGGAGCTTGTCCTTCAATCTTTTCCACTTCACATGCCTCAGTGTATCAATAACTATTCTTGCAATGCTTTTGGTTATTGTGCAAGAGATATACAATCATGTAGATCAGCTGCTCCCAAATTGTGTTCCATGGAACCCTAGAATTCCACAAATGCCTCATAGGGGTTCCATGAAAAATCTCAAAAATCAAATTTAAAATGGATTTTAAAATGAAACCACATGAGGCCAACTGTTCTATTGTCAGTTGGCATCCAAGAAGCAAACAAACAAATGAATCATGTCATTTGGTTCCTAGGACTCTATTGCGTAGCATTGGAAATAATTGAAAGAATTCATTTGGGGTATTAGCATATAATTGCTTTAATCATTTGTGATATTTAAAACGTTTTCCCTTCATTTCCAAACCTACAACATTATACAAAGCCCTCAGGCAATAGGAGCAGATGAAAAAAGAAGTGTTGTGGGTTCACAATGCTTAGTAGTAAAAATCAGGGATAGAGGTGCTCGCTTCGGCAGCATATATACTAAAATTGGAACGATACAGAGAAGATTAGCATGGCCCCTGCGCAAGGATGACATGCAAATTCGTGAAGCATTCCATATTAAAAAAAAAAATCAGGAACAGAGTTAGGGTTCCACAGAAAAAAAATGTCTTCAGAACCGCTGATCTAGATCATGGCACTTGGAAGCACTGTGTGTGAGCAGACTGTATGTAGGCCATATCTGAAGAGCCCATGGATATTATGCAGATACTATATGAAGAAAAATTGGCATTAAAAAATCTCAAGCAGTGACTAAGTCAAACATAATATTTTAAAGATACTTCACTGAATGGGTAGTTCATCCATTTTTAAGTTTTTTTCCTTGATATATTTTAAAATACTTTAAATTCATTTGCAAGATGTTAAAACAAAAGCTGGTTCCATTAGGTAATGGAGGATTCATACCAACTATAAAGCCTCTCAATTATTAGTACATTCTTCAAAATAAATCCCCTTTTAGCAGATAATCAACCAGTATTACCTCCATTGCACAGTTCTGGAAGATGCTGGACAAGCTAGTATTATATGAAGAGCCATGCTCAGACTTATCAGAATCCAGACCTTTCATACTCCTTGGGAACTGCACATCACCTGCAAAAATGTGATATAACCACCTTCAAGACTGAGGACCAAGCAGTGACAGAGTATTAAAGAGCTTGCAAAACAAATCTCATCCTGGCATGCTTGTACTAAGTTCAACCCCCCAGCTCAATTCTCTTTGGGAAAAACCCCTCCCAACACACTTCTAAGAGGTTGTTTTAATGATTGCACAACGTTCCTGAAAAGATGTTGTCCATTCACCTCAATAATGCAAACTCACAACTATTCTTCATAGAAAATTGCATTTTAGGGAGGTTCTGACGCCATTTTAACCTGGGCAGGAGATTTTTGCCATTTTGTAGCCTGCCGTTTTCTGTTCCCATTTTCATTCGCAAGGCATATTCACTGGCATAAGCTGCAAGCCAGCTCTTCAGGATTCTTAGATGAAGGTAAGTAGTTGATGCCAGGCGCACTTTAAGGTCTCAGAGACTGCAGGCATTCCCATTGCAAAGTTCACTGACTACCAGTTCACACATGTTGCTTATCCAAGGTGAGATGCCCAGGTGTGAGAAAGCCTGCCCTAGGACACGCACACATATTACCAATCTATAATTACTAACAAACTCCCATAGAACCTTACATATCAAAACAAGTGTGATGATGAAACCCACAATTTTCACACAAACACACGTTTAGCAAAGCAAATGAAGTTTATGGGTCACTCGACAGTTTCCCCCCAGCAGAGACCAGGAGCTGGCTGCAGGCTCCTATCCTTCCCCTCCCTCCTAGTTTCCCCAGCACAGAAGGACACAAGAACCTAAACAAAGACAGTCTGTGGTTATTTGAAGGGGAATCTTCCTTGACCCAGGATGTTCCAAATGTTGGAACCATGTGCCCTTGTTCTGAAGGGAAGATCATACCTGTTTGATAATGTTGCTTCCCTGCATCTCCACTGCTGCTGCTGCTTCCAAGACTGGTGGTACTCTGTGCAAGTTCACTGGTTGTGAGCCCTGGGGTCCTCGTTTTTTGTGCTTGACTGACACCTAAAATATGATCTTCAAAACCAGCTGGAAAGGTAAAGTCTGGTCGACTGCTCTCTTCCTTCAGTGGAAAAGAAAAAGTAAGACAATCAAGTTCAGTATTCAGGTTCACTAGCTCCAAATCATACTATTTCTTTAGCATATACTTAGGACTATAGGGGAAAAATGGTGTACAAAGCACTAATATTTTGCAAAGTGAATGCAAGTAGTTTCTTTACCTAAGTTAATCAGAAGATAAAAAACAGAAGATTCCCCAAAACAACTTGGAGGAATGTAGCCATGATGAAACAGAACAGGGAAACTTTATGTTGAAGAAACAACTTCTTAAGATGTATAGCAAGGCTCCATAGAGCTGCTTTTTGAAAATCTATGAGTTTGAACATAACCAGTGCAATTTTGGGCTTATGCCACTCCCATTTCTTTTGAAACACTTCCCAGTTTCAAAAGACCCTTCCTGCACAGTATTGGGAGCTATTATTTGAAAACACAAACTCTTCTTGGACACAAAACACTTGTGCAACTTTTTAGACCCACTTTTTACATCTAAATAGATAGTATAACATATAATCCAATATGGTAATACAGTGGCATATGGCTTATCCATTCAATCTCGAATGCCCAATGAATATTTAGTCAAGTAAAATGTAGTCTGTTTATTGTATTAGTATTGATGGTTGTTACAAAGGATGTTTCTGGTATATGCACCCATCCTTTCTCCTCTTTTATTTACATTTCAACAAAGCTCACACCTGCACACCAACACAGACGGACCTGTGGAAATCCCACGGAATTGATGAACATGCCACACTGTTGAGTGGATGTCACCACACCATTATTTTCACATCAGTGTAAACCATCCACAGGGATGTTCCACAGCACCTCGTGAGTAATGCCTGGCATTTACTTCACCCTTTCATGCCAGAAGGAACACCCAGTTCTCATTCACAGTTGCCTTAGCCTGCAGGCTCTGGCCTGATCCCACAGCCAGAGAACAGGGGCTACTAAGAAACCGCACCCTTGCCTCCCAGGAGGAGCTCTTCCACATGGAGAAGATCAGCCTGACACCACATTGCAGCCCAAGAAGTAGTGGGCCTCCATGCCAAAAAGAACGTTCAGCCCCAGCTGGTAGTTACCCTGAGCATTCAGAGCTGAAAGGCAGTACACTGTGGTTTGTCTATCAGCCAGGGGACCAAAGGACACTGGGAAGGGGCACGCTGTGTTCCAAGAAGATGACAGAATGAGAGACCAAACTGGCCCACACATCCGTCAGAGAAGGAACAGCTGGAGGGAACTTGCTTCACTCATTCCATGCCAAAATGAACATTTATAAGGGCTTTGTAACTAAGTCCAAGTCCCCGAGTTTGCTCCCCCACCTTTCTGTCCCACTCTCTTCTCCTTGCAACGGAAAGCAAGGCATGGCTTGGTCCTTAGGGGACATAAATCAAAAAAAGCAAACCACCAAGACTTACCTCGTCATCCGAGTAGCTATATGCTGAGGACACAGCTCCCCACACCTTGCTGGCTACATTAGCTGCTTGTTTCATTCCAGACTTCAGAACATCTATTTTAGGTCCAGATAACAGGTGGTCTAGCTTTAGACCTGAGAGAGTTGTAACTACTGCCCCCAGTGAAGCCTGGGGGGAAGTACGACCCAACCCTGTTAATGATGTAGACCGTTCCTTTTGGGACCGTGAAAGAGCCAGTTGCTTTGGCCTTCCAGTAAAGGTTTTGGACCTGGAAACCGCTGGACTTTTCCGACTGACATTCTGAACCTGGGATGGAGGCATGGAATCCGAAGGCAAGCTGGACCGCCTCTCCAGTGAGGGTACTGATGAACCAGGGGAAGCTTCCTCTTGGCTGTTCTCTTTCTTGTGCAGCTCCATGCTGCAAGATTTGCTGCTCAGTGGACTTTTCAGGTTCATGTAACTTTCAATTTCATCTGCCAGGTTGCGTGCTACAACTGGTGACAGCATCTTCTCTTCTGGTTCAGAGGCTTTGGGCTCTATTGTCTCAGTTGCCAGCAAAGATAAAGGGTCCAAACCCACTTGAACATTTTCCCTTTCAACCGGCTTGGCTACACCATAGAAACTGTTTCTTTTATTTGCTCCCTCTCTGGATTCTGTTTGCTCAGTTTGGGGCTGAGTAGAATCAAGAGGATTGGAAATAATATTTTCAGCTTTGGCTGTGCTGTCATCAAGTCCTATTCGGAGCTCTTCCTGTCCTTCTTCAGGCTCTTCCAGCACAGGGGATGACCTAGACTCTGCTTCCAAAATATTTTCATTCAGGCAGGACGTGCCAGTATCTTCACCACAGAAAAACTGCACACCCCCAGCACCGCTGACGCTGTGGGATTTAGAGATGTGAGGTGGTGATGTGTTGGCCACAGACAGAGCTGCTGTAAGGATCTTTGCATCAGCGCCCATCATTATGGCTACCTCACTGGAATTCAAGTCCAAACTGCTTTTCTTCAGCAACATCCCTGCTCTGCTTTCAGTGCTGAAGCTGCAACTTCTTTCTGAAAAAAGCTTCTGCCTTTTCTTCCCTTTTTCATTTGTTCTTTTGGGAGAAGTATTATAATCAAACACTGGATCCTCAACTGAATCCTGAGCTATGAACAGAGCACTAGGCACAGTTCCTTTAAACAAACAAGAAAGGATACAGAATAATTGATAAGAATCAGTTCATATAACGCACAGAGGAACACATTTTAAACAGAGATACCACAACACCACCACACAGTCCAATGAACTGCAGGTACCATGGAATTTGGGTCTTAATTATATTAAAAATGCTTTTAAAGAAGTGGGCTTACAGTGACCACTTTTGATGGAAAAGCAGCTGTGTGGAGCCTGATACCAACACAAAAAGCATGTTGAAAAACATTTTTGAAGGAGTGTGCTTAATGAAATGCATATTCTGACCCTTCTAAAACATTTAATAGTACTTTGGGCTCTTCTGTGCTGCATGTTGAATTTCTGTAGTGATCACAGGACCTCTACCAGCTTTGTAACGGGGTGGGAGTTGAGTTTATACAAGATAATCTTTCCTTGTCTTTTTTGGTGAACTCATGGAGAGGAACATACACTTGTGAACTTCCTTACTACTGAAATCCTACCTCTGTACAAAACCATCTTCAGGAACTGCATAGTTAAAAGTTCAGCATAAAGGAGGTAAAAATGGTAAAAAAACAGCAAAAAAAAATGATCTCCTTGAGAGCAGGCCGCTGCTGGGCGTGTGCGCAGGTGCAGTGAGTCCACGACCTCTATGGCGGGCTGGATAAATGGGCATGGCGGGCTGGATCTGGCCCGCAGGCCGTAGTTTGAGGACCCATGTTCTAAATAAATGTAGTTACTTAGCTGTTTTATCATATTATGACTGGTGAGGTTTAAAAACAAACAAACACTGCAGTTCAAAATATTACAGGTCAACTAAACTATACCTGATAAAGTAATTTTTACTTTGTACAATTTGGACACAGCCTACTGAAGGGAGTAACCCTGCCAAATCTGCCTTGTTAAGTGCAACACTTAATTTTATTAAGTTGATAAAATAAAGGTGCTAGAGATAACTTCTTTTTTTCTTCTAGTCCCCCAAACCCAAGTTTGGTAAAGCTACAGGACTACTCAGTGAGAGATAAAGTATTCTGATCATCACCACCACCACCACCATGTAGCCTCCGTACAACCTGAACTGACAGATCCTGACTCATCTTGGAAGCTAAGCAGGATTGGGCCTGGTTGAAATCCAGATGGGTGACTTAAAAATGTTGTGGGCTGCTCAGATAGCTGTGGCTATGGGTGGTATAGAAATATAATGTAATAATTATTATTATTTTACACACGCCAAAGCTTTAATATATTGCAGACATGTTCTTGGGCAGGCAAAAGCCTGTATAATTGGCTCCCCATTTTATAGCTACAATAAGCCAAGTGTATTCACTAACTCACCACCACTGCTCTTCCTTCCCGTGTTCCCAAATATGCCAGAGGGAACCTTCACGATACTGCTTACAGGATGCAGAGGCACCTCCACGGGGCTGTGGGATTCTGCATTAGGAAGTTGTTTTTCAACAGGCTCAGTGATACCACAAAAGTCTTCGCAAGAAAGGAGGCAAGGAGGGAAAATAAGTTATCTGTTCTACAAGGGAAGAAGAGCCCTAAACTGATGCCCAGTAGCGAGCACATCATCACTTCTGATATTCTAGAGAACACTGTTTTAAAGCACACTGATGCTCATTCAGCACATTTATTTTAATATTTGTATCTTTCCTTTCAGTGAAAATATCAAGGCTGTTACAAGAACATGGTTAAAATTGTATAACGCACACATACATATTTTGAATGGGTAAAACAGGCATAGCAGCCACAAAAAGGGAGCTGTAAAAGCATTCTCTAAATTTATCCCCAAAGAGCCAGGTTTGGATTGCATGCTTAAAAGCCCAGAAGGCAGGCAGTGAAAAAGACCATTTGTCCTTCAGATGGTAGAGAGAGATGGATGGCAAGACCTGAGTCAGGACTAGCATCTGAAGTTGGCATGGTGAGGCACTTGCGAATGATGTTTAACAATTAAAATGATGTTTAATCCTGCAGCTTCTCTTTCTTGCTGTTGCTATAGGTTCACCTGCTCTGAGTAAGCTAGCAACTTCCATCATTCCACCTTCTATTTCTAGGCAGTGGCATAGAATAGGCCAAGAAAGACAGAGTAAGGAAATGGGCAAGAGTAATAAGGAAGGTGGGGGAAGGGGATGGAGGCATGTTCCGCAAGTCCCACCTGCCAAACAATAGAGTCACCACTGGCTTCGGTGGTTGAACTAAGTGTCTGGGCAGGTTCATATAGAAAGTGCTGGTCCTTCAAATATGTGTCCATAGGCTATTTGGGGTCTTAAAAATAAGATCAGCATTTTGAACTGGACCATGTGCTCACCGCCAAATCCCATGCGCTAAAAAGAATGAGGGAACAGTCTATCCATAGAAGGTGAACAGGAATCTACTAAATGGGCAAGTTCTTCTGTGAGTAGAGAATTCCCTTTTTTAATGACACAATAGATTCAGTAGAGTCATTTCACTTCTCAATGTCTAGCAGTAAGCATACTTTGTGTTAAGGTTGCCTTTATAATAAGATATACATGCTATATTTAAGTATCCTTCTGCAGTGAAATAGCACATGACTACCAGTTTTGAAGATACTGTTGATAAAACAGATGTTGCAATCGCAGCACAGATTATTCTCCATGCTCCTTTCCGTATGGAGGATTTCCAGCTCCTGAGGCACCATGGCAGGCTTCCCCGACCAGACACCCTCCAAAGGTTCTGAGATACAGTTTCCACTGTCCTCTGTCATAAATTGCTACGAGTTGTACTTCAGCACATCTGCAGGGTGACAGGCTAGGGAAGGTTGCATTCTGTGTCTAATACCAATGTGACAGAGAAAGACACAACCTTCTAGAGTGAGAGAGACTGGTCATGCTAGCTAACTTCACCCTGTTCTGGTATTAGAAGCCACAGGCTTGTGATATCCTGTATGCCAAGATTTACTGATTTTAGATACTTACATCCCATCTTTTAATTCTGGAAACCTAACAAGGCAACTGTATAATATATATGGTATATGTGTGAGCACTCTTCTGGCAAGGTAATAGTCTGTCTCTATTTACTAAAAACACAATTAAAATCAGCATAACATACCTCCAATTAAGCCTTCATCTTTCGAAACCCGCTCTTTTTCTATAAGCATATCTGTCGTATGAAGAGTGTCTCCATCTTCTTTTATGAGTTCATCTTTAGAACCATAGCCTTGATCTGACTGACCACCTGCAGGAAATA